ATAAACTTTATCATTAAAGGTAAAGTATGTACTGCTCATGGATAGATTAAGAAGCCTTACGATTGAGCTTTTGCTCATATTTGCCTCCCCAATAATTTATGGGTGTTCATCTAGGCTAAGTGTAATTGCTTTAATAGCTTTATGAACTGCAGTGTGATGGGGCCTCGATAAATTCCGGATTAGGTAAAAATAAGCAACTAAAAGGTTGTAGCAGAGAAGGCAGATGCACGAGGATATGCAATAGGCGAAAGTACGACATAAGGAGAGAGGGTTCAACGACTGCTTAAATGTTCAACTGTAACAAGTCTAAGATCTGAAGCTTGAAATTATCATGGCTACTATGGCAGAGGACTCCAGGCAAGATGCGTTCATCTAGGTCGCCATAACACGAAGTAACTGCAAAAACGAGGTAAAACCACTCACATAATTATAAAGATTGCCTAATCCAAAGTTTCGCCTATCCATGAAGTGCTCGTATATCTGTGGGTTGAGAAGAGGCCAGACGACCCTTAGCAAGCCGACCTTATCAAACAAATATGTTGATAGTGCAAGCCCTGTTGGACGAGGAACCTACATATTGGGAAAGATCCCGGACTGTCTATTTCCTCGACCAGTGCTGACAACAAGAGAAGGACCGCCTGATCTGAGAAGGCCAACAACTGCCTCTGACTTCGAGGTGTTTGCTTCCTCCACTTTATTCCCCTTCTCCTGTAGAGCTGCAGTCCCAACCGGCTTTACTGATGCATTTGTCACAACAACCGACTGGCCTGGATCAGACCAGCTGTCCGAGTTACGGCAGACGAGACTGCTAGCGTCTGAATCGGTCGCAATGCTATGACCAAGCACCTGATCCTCAGGCAGACAGCCGGGCTGACAGGCTTCAGCTTCGGGGTCCAGACAGAAAATAAGCACTGTCTGTCCAGGAAAAGCTATGTGAGCTGGAGACCCGATGTCCTTATGATTGGCAGACCGAAGCGACGAGGGAGTCGAAAAAGAGGATGTCAAGACGGAAGGGATAGAGGAATTATCAACAGGAGGAAGAGAAGATGGCAGAACTTGAAATTGGGATGATGGTGAAGGCGGTGTGGCGGCCAGCTGAGGAGTAACCAGCTGGGCTTGAGCAGATTCATCTGGCGATAAGGCAAAATTAGATTGTTCTAAAATAAAAAAAAGGTAAGAAGGCAAAAAGTAAGACGTTGCTTTCCAATCAAATATGGTGGCCAATTAAATACTGAAGTGCATACGGTTGTTTAGAGATAATATATGAATTTATGAACTTGAGTGATGCTAATCGATCTTGCCTCACTTTACCATATTAGTTTTAGTTACAGTAGCAGCAATAAAAATTTGATTGCCCATATCAAGTGGGAAAGCGGATAAACCTGCCTGAAAGAAACATTATGAAGGCGTTATTCTCGAAGATATGAAGAAAAACGCATTTTTAAAAAATTCCTTACTAATTTATTGTGCTGTGAATTTCCATTTCAAAGAAAAAGTTGGTTAGAATTAATTCGTGAAATTGTCTCACCAAAAACCGGAGGAGCAATAATCCATACTTTACAAAATAGCGCGAAAATGGACTAAGCTAACTTTTTTATATTGGTTTAGCATAGTTTTGCGCCATTCCGTAAATTATGCATTCTTGCTCTGATGGTGTCTATTACGGTACAAACTAAAGCGTGATACAGGTTATCTGGGTTGCAGAATTGTGAGCCAGAGTTCTTTTCAAAATCCAACAGACTTCACTCCGCGGGAATCGTCCTTTGGTTTCCAGCAAGTCCATTTCATTGATTCCTTTCAATCAACTTTTCCTCCGAAATGAAAAGTCATATTATAAAGCATTATTTTACTGTTGTGTTTTATAACGTTCAAGACCCTCAGAGCGCCAAATGATCCAAGTCGGTCTACAATCAGGAGCATGGCTTAAGTTATCGATAACCACTTCCAAATTCAAAAATAGTGAGCTTCATTTAACTGGCTAAAAAGGATAGACCTTCGTGTGATACGATTTCGGGCTTTTAATAATAGATGTATGAGATGACTAAATCATTAGTCTATACTACATATTTTAATTGACAAGGTCTAAAGTTAAGTTCCAAAGTTCATAACAGAATGTATGTAAAAATCAATGCCAAACTATGCTTTCCTTGATCGAACTTAAATGATGAATTGATGCCTAAGCAAAATAATCGGTTACCTAGTCATCTACACACTAAGAGAATTGGGGAAAAAGCTGCAGGTTTTACCTCCTATTGGCTTGTTGTACTGAGCATATAATGGCATGACTCAGGAACGAAGCTATTGTACACAGACTCAATACTCGAACTTTGCATCTTCATTGAGCATACTTTCTTTTATACGTGAAATTTGAAATTTGTATGGCATATAACGTATGATAAAGCAAGTCATAATCGATGCGAAATAGGTAGTGCGAAATTGAAAGGTCCAAATCAGAGAATAGGATAAATTATGCATCTCAAGATAACTCAAAAATACATAGAACTAGGGGCAAGTATTTCCCATGGTATAATAAAACAGAATAGTACATTGCCATATTTATTATGCAGAAATTTATAATATAGATGATGGCTTTGCCTGACTTCGTATTTAAGCATCTTATATATTTTTCGTATTTTAATTGAATGAAGTAAATCTGTAGTTTCAAAAATGCAAATTTCCATCGATACTTTTAGGGAATTAAAGGAAAATGGCCAAAAGGCTTTCTAATGCCCCAAGCCTACAGATATGTGATGCCTGGTAAAAAATAGCCATCCTCTGTTAGCTAAGTTGCATATCCTAAGGCAAAAACTATCAGAGCTACTAAAATTGTATGCTAGATGTGTGAAAATCGAATGGTGAAAAAACAGTTGTGCACCTTTACTGCATTCCAGGGCAGTGTCTGATGCAGAAACAATAGGATAATAGAGCTTGTAAACATGCCATCATGACCCCAAGGTATTTGGTTAAGTGATGCTAGTTTGATGTTGGTATGACCTCGTTTTCGCAAATTATTCGAAGCGACATAGAGAACTTGCGGAACGTACTTAGGCCTGCATTTTCTGCCATATTATTCATGCTGATTTCCAGAATCGAAACGCTGACTTGGTACATTCCCAGACATTCCACCAGCATCATCATTTAAAAGTGCCATGCATAGGTCAGAGTTACAATTTATCAAAGTGACAAGTGAAGGCAATACTCTTGACCACTTTTCTGTTCATCCGTGGTAGTATTACTCCTCGCCTATATTCTTGGTCCTACCTTATAGTGCTGCATCCCGTTCTCTCAAATCCACTCCGTATGGGCT